ACCACAAGGATATGGGCAGCAGAAAGAAAATTCAATCGAAATTGGAAATTGGATGCAAAGGAAACCTTCATGGGAAACCGAATGGTACACACTTGTGCGCTCCAGCAGCTGCAACAGAAGCTCGTGGTGACGGGTGCAAAAATGCTCGGTGGACTTCTTGAGGTACAGTCCTTCCTTCCTCGGTGGACTTCTTGGGGTACAGTCCCTCCACTCCCTCGAGGGCTGAACGGGTTCGAGGTTGTACTTGGCCTTAATTCATTCATTCATTCTTCTTCTGTTGTGACACTATCAGGCGACTCACTCCGAGTGGACACTGAGCTTGTCCTCGGAAAACACCTGCTTGGACATCGAAGACTAAAGACTAAAGGCCATGGCCATGGCTTGAAAGACTTACAGAAAAAACCACTAGTTGGAAATAAACTTCATCTTAAAGACTGGGCGTAGAAGATAGTTGGAAGTTCTCTCAGTGATGCCTTGAAAATGATATTCAGGTGTAATGCCTTCAAGGGCAATGCTTGAACTTTTCCATAACCCAATGAAGCTTTCCAGCTGGGAAATTTAAAGAGTACAACATATGTATCTGTAAATGAGGGGTCTTTCCGCAGATGGGACCGTTCTTGTTGGAGCCAAAGATCTGAATATCAAAGGGAACATTGTTCCGCTTTGACTTGCTATCCACTCCATTCAATTCGAACTTCTTTGGAATTATTGCGAGGAGCATTTATTCGGCTATAATTTAATCTACTATTTGCCAGTTCGAGGAGCTTCTCAGAAATAGCTGATTGCTCGGAGTGGAAGTCCCGCCTGGGCCTGCGGCCTTGAGTATTCAATGGGAAATCAATGTTTGACTGTTTGCCCACTCAATTATGGATTGGCATATTTACGCAACTTCAAAGCCCATAAGCCGCCCATTGGATGTCCTGCGGGATAAAAGATTAATACATGTTTGCACTGATTGCGGAAACCAGCTCTCCAAGAAGCTTTCGCACCTCCATAGACCCTCTCCACAAGCGTTTAATTTATTCAATAGACTTTTGTAATTGTCAAAGTTGCAGTGGGGCGCTTCGGAGGCTTCAGAGGAAGCAGAGGCAGCAGAGGCTGAATGCAACAAGCGACACTCGGCTCCCAGCAATTAGTAAATCATGAGGAAATTATGTGCTTTGTGAATGCAGCCCCCAAAAGGAGCAGTCCCAGTTGCCAGACGAAAATTTTAATGCAAACTGTAAATTATTATATACTTAGTTACATTTTGCTCCAAATGCACAGGCAGTCCCTCGATCTCCATCTCCATCTCCGTCTCCGGCTCCGCCCTCACTGCGACTGTTTCGGCCTTCTCTCAAAGGGCTGGCTGTTTTAGCCATTTCTCGGCTCCCGCTGGCAGACAATACAAAACTATAAATATGCACAGTCACAGACAAAGTCACAATCACAGTCACAGTTGCAATTATACCCGAAGGCGCACAGTGGTCGGAGACCAAAGGAGACGAAATATGTATCAATTATTGCTTTCATTCGGATCCTACTGCCTGAAAATATATGATTTTCTTTGGTCAACTCCTCATTGAATATATACAGAAATCTCACCTAGCCGCTAGCTTAAATTTGTTTGTTTCCAGCTTTTCAATTAATTTATTTTGTTTGTCAATTGTCAAGTGCATAATATTTAATTTCATTCAATTTCATTCCTTTGGAATGCAATTCGCTTGATCTTGAAGATTTGAGCAACACATTTTTTGATTCAATTAATTTTGTGTCGTTGACCAACCACTGTGCCGGACTCATTCACAAGTCGTTCGCTGGAATGATATATTTTTTATTTTACCATCTTCTTCGCCTCATCGCTCCTCTCCGGCTCTCCGGCTCTCCACTCTCCATCGCTTGGCGGTGGGTGGGTGTCTCTGGCAGAGCAAGCAAAATGCAAAATTTATTGCTGAAAACTACAAAACACACACAGCGTCTGTTGGGTGGTTGAGTGGTCGCTGGGCTGGTGGGGTGTTGGGGTGGTGTGCGAGTGTGGGGTAAATGGGGGCGTGGAAAATGTGTTAAGTCTATTGAGTGTATTAAAGCAAATAACTGCGTCGACGAATAAAATACATACGGGGAGACGACAGCGAGGAATGTGCTCCAGGCACTGCCAGGGGGGTACAGGGGAATAGAAGAACGCTGTGTGGATAGAGGGCGTGGCAAAAGATACTTTATACACACACGCTGACAGATGCACCGACTCAGACACACACATATGCAAATATGAATATAAATGAACAACGCGATGGAGTCCAAGGCCCAGCCTGAGCTCCGATGTCTGGGTATGGCATAGATATAGAAAGAAAACCGAACAAAACCGAGGGAGAGACAGTTAGAGAGAGTGAGAAAGAGGGACAGCTTTTGGTTGAAAGTTGAACGTGTGGCTTACAAACGGCACCACTGAAATCGACACAAGACACAGGGAGGGCGAAGGGAAACCGCAACAAAAGTGGAGCCAACCCTGAGCCAATGGGTCTGGCAACTCTGACAAAGAATTTAGTTGCCCTTTAAGATCAAATATGCCAATATTTCCACGCACAAGACAGTCGAACACAATCCGAAAATTGAACGAATAAAATAGTTTATCGAAAAAGCAAGGCCTTGCCCCAACTCTGAATTTCGTCACTCTTTAGGCCCGATTTTGGGCCATGTAATGTGTGACAATTGTGTGTTTGAATTCAGACCGGAAATCGAACAAATAAATGATGATCGAAATGAAACAGTGAGGAGGGCTCAGGCCACATCATTTGGAATGGGTGGCAATTGTAACTAGAAATTCCTTTTGCCGTTTAAGCCCAATTATGGCAATATTTAAATGCAATGCACAAAATGCCATTCAACAAAACCCCAAAAATGGTAAACGACAATTTGTGCAACAAAAACCATTAATTATTGCAATTTTAATTAGAAAGATTGAGTGCGTAAATTTTGGGTAAAGTTTTAACGGTTCATTAGATACCGAATGCATTCGGAATATTCTTATTTAAATTAATTTCAGTGCTCATTCGCATTTAATTGATGTGGCAAATAGTTGAACGAACGCTGCCAGCCGACAGCTAAACTTGCAGGCAGCAGAAAACATGGCAACAAAAACAAAAACACCAACTGCAACTGCAGCACAACCAGGAGCAGGAACAGGAGCAGGAACAGGAACGGGAACGGGAACAGAAGCAGAAACACAACCAGAACCAGAGCCAGAACCAGAACCAGAACGGAAATAAGCAGCTTTTGACTAACGGCAAAATGGATGCCAGAGAGCTGGCTGTGGTGTGTGTGTGTGTGTGTGTGTGTGTGTGTGTTTAAAAAAGCATCGCAATGCCTGTAGAAAAGGGGTGAAAAAGAGGGAAGGCAGGGAGAGAGAATGGAAGCATAAGGAGCATAAGCAGAAGTGGAGTAGCATCTGGCACTGCCCTGTGCGATTACAAAAACATCAACACTTAATATGTTTATTAAATTTGTTGCTACATCATTAGGCACTAGCAGCCATGTAATGTGAGGCAAACACTTCACATGCGCCCATGGGTATGCCGTGCTGTGTGCCACATGCATGTGTGTGCCAGTGCTGTCAACGACTACTACTGTCGTCTGCTTCAGCAATACCATACCCTATGACCCATAAACTCAACTCGAATGGCATTCAACGATCACTGGGATAGTATGCACTATAGACAATCAAATAAACTGAGTCTACGCTCAAGTGTGGTGCCAAATGAATGATGTATTTGGGCATTTTGGATGATAGCTTAATGAGAGAATTATGAAAAAATAAACCAAAATAGTACCAATAAAAACCCTCACGAGAGAGTACATTAATGTATGTGATTCCATCGTCTTTAAGGGAATGTACACCTTTTGAGACACAATAGAATTCACTCAACAATTAATTACATACCAAATGAATGTCCATTTTGTGTGGTGTGGCACGAGTATGTTCAAATCAGCCGCACTCAGCCAGCCTGTTGTGGTGTGTGGTTTGGTGGCTTGGTGTTGTGCCACACAGAAGCCCCACACAGTAGCCCCACAGCAATTAGTTGGCACTTGAGATTGTTTTCCCCACATTCGATTCAATTTAGCAAATCAAACTCGATTGCTGCTGCCAGAGCATCCCTGCTTCGTTGGCTTTCCTAATTTCGTTTTGGTTTGTGCTTGAATGTAGCTGTAGATGTTGTAGTTGTAGCTGGCTTTAGCTTCCAGTCGTGCCAATGCCCTATGCACACACACACACACACACACAGTCGTACTCTCTCGGTGGCATGTGTTTCTGTGTGAGGCTGCTTCTTTGTGTGTGTGTGTGTGTGTGTGTGTGGGCTGTGCTTTGGGCTACTTTGCATGGGCTTAACGATTGTTGTTTAAATGCAGTTACAGTTACAGTTACAGTTGCGTTACAGTCGCAGTTACAGTTGCAGTTACAGTAACACTTACAGTTGCTTGCTGCGAAAGAGAGAGAGTGGGATGGCCACTCAGAGGAAGTGAGAGGGCAAGTTGAAGCTTTAATACAAATTTGCATTGCCTACTTTTTGGCGTCGCGTTGCGTTGCGTTGCGTGGCATGGTGTTCCGTTATGCGAAAGTTAACAAAGTATGCGTACCCAGTCACACACACACACCGATGTACATATGTATGTATGCACATCCACCTTTATTCACGATGTATATGCATGGCTTGCCTTGCCTTGCTTTTTTTTGTTGTACTTTACTTTACCTCTTTTTAGTTTCACTTTTGCTGTGGCTCTGGCAAAAGTTATGCGCATTATTAAAAAAGGCAACGCGCTCACCGCATAAATTTTAATGCTCATGATTATTATTATCATAATAAAATGTAATGTTCCAACCGCCATCCACACCCCACGGCCACAAAAATGACTGAACACATATATATATACATAAGTATATCCACTTTTACTGCCGAAACTGCATACGTATACTCGTACTGGTACTCAGGTGAACTCCATTTCGTTTTTCCATTTCCTTTCAGCAGTTGCGGGCAGTGGGGCAGTGACAAATCGCTCGGCAGCCACCCAATCATTGACACTATCGCAGAGCTACCACCAAGACAATGCCACCAGCAGTCCAGGAGGCCACCCCACGACAAGCTCATCCACAGCCAATGCATTTGCCCAGCAGGAGGATGCTGTGCTGCTGGACGAGGACGAGGAGGAGGACCAGGAGCCGCATGCACTGACCATTTCACGACCACCGCGGGCTGGTCGCAGCGAGCGGCAGGCGATGGAGGAGGATCAAGTCGACCGCTGCCGGCTCTTCGTCGAGGGAGATCCAACCAAGAACGAGCTGTACAGCCCCGAGTATCCCAATCTGTATCCGAAGAACATCAACTGCACGCGAGTGATAACAGGTAAGGATAAGAATGAGGGATCTCTAAATAAAAGTATTTAATTAGGGGCATGCATTTGAATGAATACGAATGGATGAATGAATGTAATGGAACATTGTGCACAATTAAGTGAATTCCAAAATATTATGCAGATGTACATTTGTAGATTAGCAATCGATTACCCCTGGCTTAACAGCTGAATGACTGACTTCAAAATCCAAATAACAAATTCAGGGCAACCAATATGCATATCTGGCATACCTGGCCATATCGAATATTCATTCAGCACACGCATATTTATTCATACGAATTACGGCACTCAATCTCAATCCTGCCGATTCATACGGATATTAATGTGCGAGAAGTGAGCAGAAACAGAGAGATATTTAGCTGGTATTTAGATAGAAATTATTAGAGTGTCACCAGCACTTGGCCAGTCCTCATCAATGCGGGGTCTTGCTCGAGCCCAAGTAATTTCAGGTTCATGTATTCATGCCCCAGCCCATTCGGTGGATTATCTACGGCTAAGCAATTAACAACCAGTCCCCCCATACTCGTATCTGTATCTGTATCTGAGTCTGTATCTGAATCTGAATCCACTGTATGCCACAGATACAAAGACAAATAGGAGCTTTGATGGAAGACAATTCGCAGTCAACTTCCTGTGGCGCACGAGTTTGTGGAGTGTGGAGTGTGGAGTGCAGGCCTCGTAAAAGTTTATATGGCAGGCACTTGGCGACGAGCAAGCTACTGCAAATAATTGCAAAGTCTTTTGGCCAAGTCTTGGCTGTTGACATTACCAGATGCCAGTCAGTCAGCCAGTCAGCCAGTCAGTCACTCAGTGAGTCATTCAGGGAGACTGGGGGGGAACCGTTGGAGCGGCAGCATTAGACGGCGCTGATGCGTAAGATGCTCCATACAGATTCGAGTGGCAGGACCGTTTTGTGTGCCCCATTTAAAAGCGTTGGCGTGCTCGGGGCCCTTCTTCCACCACAATTCAATCCCTCGATGGGGGATTGCCAACGGGGGATTGGGCCGAGCAGTCATCATATTTGAGCTGCACTCGCTTCACTGCCTCTTCCACAGCTCCCAGCTCCAGCCCCAGCCCCAGCCCCAGCCCCAGTCCCAGCTCCAGCTCCAGTCGAATCGAGTCAACTCCAATGCTTATCTAAAGTCGGTTAGAGGCCAAATCATTTGTCAGTTAAGACAAAATAATGTCACTGCAAAAGTCAAGAGCTGACAGATAAAACCTGAAAGCGAATGATTGACTTTCCATAAGCACGCATCAGCGGTCCCAGTATCTGTCTATCTACAAATATGTCAGCATATGTATCTTTCTCTCCCACCCCCATCTGTGTATGTGTGTGTTCAGCATTAGCTGGGGGTGGTTGAGGGACTCGAACTGACAGAGGCAGCTGCTTATTTGCATATCAATGTGGGTGTGGGTGGGTCGTAAGAGGACCCCAGTGAAGACCATCTTAATGTGGAGCTAAGCAGATGAGAGATACATCTTAGACTCAGACTTAGATTCCCCATCTAAATAGAGTCCAGGGCATCTTTGTATTTCCAAAATTAGTTCATAAATTGTCCGAATTTTCCCATGATCATTCTGAATATTCATTAATTGAATGCCAAAGAATATACAGCCCTAGAGCTGTAGAGCTGTGCAAAACTCCCAATTTATGAATTAATTGTCTTTCATTCGCAAAGGAAAAAGTATGTCTTGGATAACAGCCTGAAACCCGACCAAAACCAGTCCCAATGCACAATGCCTCAAATACAAAACCCATCCAGATGGACATGAAACCCTCTCAGAGCCCAATAATTTGTCCATCAACATGAATGAATGCCAAAGAATGTGCAGCCATAGAAGAGAATCTAGTATCTAGTATACAGAATGGGTTAATATGTTCCGATATGTACAATGCCAGAAAATTCCAGCTGGACCACCGGATTGAAAGCCAATCTACCTGAATGAGAGCCAAAGGAAATACTGCATGTGGTCAATTGTCCTTCGTATTCGCCTTACAAAGTATGAGTAGTTCTTTGTGAATACTTTCCGAAGTCGGGCCTTTACCATTCAGTCCAGATGCACCCGCCCCAAATATGTACCTTCGACAGGCAATCTAGTTGTGGACCTCGACCCCATGCCGAAGGATAGCCATCGGCGAGCAGCCCATGAAATATGCAAAATTTGCAAAACAATTTTGCTGAATTTTCCTCCAGAAAATACGACAAAGAGCACTAGCTCTCTGTGGAGACCAGATCCCCCTCCGGCCGAACGGATTGCCTATAATTATGAATGCATTTTCGATCCCCCCTCCTGCCTTCTCTTCTGGGGTAACCATCAATTGGTCTGTTCTGCTTTGTAATTGGGTTTCATTTTCGAAACTGCCATTGCAATTCAAAAATGCTGCCGTTCTCTATGCCATCTCATCCCCCTGCCCCTTCCCCGCTGGGCTTTGTAATTTAATAGCACTAAACCAGCACCAGCACCAGCATCCCCCTCGGTGGGCCAAACCTTAACTGGGTTCCTTACCCCCTTTTCAAGGCCAATCAATGCGAAATCCTATTCCCATTCAACCTCCACTCACTTCGGTATTTGTTTGGCTCGGAACCTCTGCCTCTCTGTGCCGTTCTCTGTCTGTGATTCCAACTTTCATTACTTGTCCATCTCCATTATGTAATGTGTGTGTGTGTGTGTGCGGGTGTTAACGCCTTGGCAATTGCTTCTCTGTGTGTACATATGGATGGATGTGTGTGGGAATTAGGGAATATGTGTGTTGTTATGCCACATTGGCCACAAAGGTTCCATTTCACAGCCAACACGAAGGAGCGGATCAGGTTGGCGTTGGGAATCGAGAATGGGGGAGCAGAAGAAGCAAATGTATTTTCAAATGCCAGCTCCGGAGGCGGAGCCCACTTCCACTTCCACTCCCATTGACATTCACATTCACATTTGCCATTGATTCATGCCAAGGATTCGTTAGCTCAATAGGTATGGCCGGCAATGTGAGTGTGAATGAATGAATGAATGAATTTGGATGTGGGTCTGGGTCTGGGTGTGGGTGTGGGTCTGGGTGTGGGTGTGGCATCTTGATACCTTCTTCTTTTCATGCAGCCACTAAATGAGTCCTCAGAGTCTTTCATTTGGCCATAGATACGGCCGGATACGAGACCATGATTGGGTCTAGTCTTTTTTCCTTTTAAGTTTGCTTTTCCTTTTGAAACCCCAAGAAAACGCCCTTTAGATAGATGTATCTTTGCAGGCATATTATAGTTCGGATTTCCTTGTGAATGGGAAAACTATGCGCAATTTTTGTACAATTTTTTATTGAGCAAATGCTTTGAGCAAAGCTTATGTTTTTGAAATGTGGGGACTTTTTTTATTTTATTAAGAAAGCAAGTTGTCCAAAGAAGAGCTGCTTGCCCTCCTGGAGTGAAAGCAATCATAAAGTAATAACCAAGGCAACCCTAGGTGGACTTCGACCAACAACAGCAACCACACTTCTTAATTAAGTGAATGAGTCCTGGTCCAGTGTCTCGGGAATCTAGCGCCAGGCTTGAGGTGCATTCCATCTTTCGTCTGCCCCGTTCGGTGGCATTTCCACTTCCATGTCCACAGCCACTCCTTCAGAAGGAAAACTTGAGCTGGCGCAGAGCTATTGTTAATCAGTTGTTTAGCTCTGGGGCATTTGACTTTGAGTAAGCCCGAAGTCAGAGTTGGAGTCGGGGTCGTGGTCGTGGTCGGGGTCACCAACGGTAGTGATGGGATCATGGAATTTATATTTGTCCACTAACGTGTTGCCTTTTGTGCTATTTTCTTTCTCTCTGATGCCTGCCTGCATCTAATTACAGCGCCGAAGGGACAAATCATACGCCTGGACTTTCGCAACTCGTTTAATATCGAGGCCAAGGAGGAGTGCAAATTTGATTTTCTCGAAGTAAGTAACAGGCAGGCAACTGGTTGATGTTGATGGTAACTGGTAACTGGTATCCGGCTGGTAAATGGTATCTGGTATCTGGTATCTGGCTGGCAACAGGCGGACAGAGAGACGAGACGAGACGGGTCAACGTCAGTGCCAGCGCCAGCGCCAGCGCATAAAAAACGCAAACTTTGTTGCAAGCTCAAGCTCAAAACACAGGCTAAAATGAAGCTGAAAAACAGTGTGCAACAAAAAACTTGCTTAGTTGCAGGCAGGGCTTTGCCTTGGCGTGGCAAAGTTTTCGATTTGTTTCTTTTACGACTTTTCCTTGTTACTGCTTTCATTTTTTTTTTTTTCGCCTAGATCCTGGCCTTTTTATGCCGGGCCCCTAACCTAAAAATTGGAAGTTTTAATTGAATGTTGTCGTTGCCATAGCCATAGCCGTTGCCTTTGCCATTGCCTTTGCCGTTGCCGTTGCCTTTGCCGGCAAGTCGTAAGCCAGATTTGAATGCCGTCTGCCATAACCAACAGCCAAGCAGCCAGAGTCTCAGTCTCTGTTTCAGTTTCAGGCCAAGTCGCTCTTGCCAACTGCCAAAGCGGCTTAGGCCAAGACAAACTGTTTGAGATTTGCCATCTGGCTATGCTGAGGTCTAAACCTAAATTCTTGCAGATACGCGACGGACAGTACGGCTTCTCCACGCTGATTGGCAAGTACTGTGGCACCGATTTCCCCCCGGAAATCACCTCCAAGGAGCGCTATCTGTGGTTGCACTTTCACTCGGACGAGACCATCGAGTACACCGGCTTCAGTGCCGTTTACGAGTACCTCGATCGGAACCGCGAGGCCCCCAGCACCGACCTCAACTGCACCATCGAGAAGGATGGCTACGAGGGGTTCATCAACTCCACGGATGTTCCGGCGGACATTAGGGAGCAGGTCATCCGCAACAAGATAGCCCTGGACTGCATTTGGCGCATTCAGGTCAAAGAGAACTGGAAGGTGAGTTTGTGGACCAAACCCAATATCTAATCGCACTGGTACTTGTGTATTCCATCCGCATTTAATGGGGCCTCCTTCCACTTGCTCTTTTCCTCAGATTTTCCTCAAGTTTTTGGACTTTAAACTGAGCAAGCCGAACGATTGCGAGACCAACTTTCTGGACATATTCCCCGAGCAAACAGTGATGCCATTGAGGTGAGACCCTTTTACCTGCCTCCTCCTTGACTGTGGGAATTCTCGTACATCGTACATCGTATCTGAAAGGTTAATCAGATTTTGCTGCGTTTTACAACACTGTCAAATTGGGTTTGGAGTACCGCGGTAGAGCGCTGGGAGAGAGCTGGGAGCTGCCGGATATATGTATACGCGTATACGCAGTGCCACAAACCAATTTCCGCATTGCCAAAAAGCGAGAGATCAAAGCCCAGTCAAATTTTCAATTTATTACCGGCCAAAAGTAAACTGTATGCCAGCGGAAGTGGTGGGCGCCTTTGACTCGTACATCCCTGCCGTGCCATGTCCTGCCCTGCCCTGCCCTGTCCAATGGCTGGCTGGATGGCGTCCTGTCTGTCTGGCTGGCTGGCTTCATCTTCGACACGCATTGACATCCGCTTTTAACGCGCCAATACATTTCCACTTGTTGCTGCTACAGATGCTCGGCACAACACTCAAATTGATTGACTGGCGTTTTCAGCTCTCGGAAAATGCGAAAAGGGAAAAGGCAAAATGGAAAATGGAAAATGGTAGCACTGGACGGGGAGAAAGGTTGAAGCAGAAGCTTCTCTGTCTTTTTCGTCAGCCATGGCCATTGATTTGATGCCTTTGCTCCTGTGGCTGCTGCTCCTCTGCCTGTCGCTCGTCCGTTCAGCTTTCATTTAAATTCATTTTTCGTAACAATTTATCGCACACGACGGGTGGCAGCCACCCACACACGAGCCAACATTTCGTAGCATACTTTCCGGGGCAGGGCAGCCACAGAAAATGTCAGCAAAGCGTGAAATGCGCCAAAAGAAGCAGCAGGGACAGCAGACAGCCAACGGCAACGACGATGGCAACGCCAATGGCCACCAAATGAACGAACGAATGAACATAAATACCATACTCAGTGAACGCCATCATTTAAGCTACATTATAAATTATTTATTTATCGATTACGTATCTGCTATCGATGCGAAAATATTTACCAAAATTACAATATATGGCCAGTGACTGAATTTGGCTGAGGAACCTACTCCAAACCACTGGAGGAAAAACATTATTTTAATAAGCATTTCCTTCTATCAAATTTTGTCAAACCCCTAAACGAACAGGGATTCAAAAACCATATTAAAACCATTCTTCAGGTTGAAAATCTTGAGGGTCATGGACTCATATTTGTTCATCGATTTTAATGAAACATTAGGTCAGGATATTTCCCATTTAAAACGAATTAAATTGTCCATAGATAACCTCCAGAAGGGGAACACTTAGCTTGATAGAAAATTTTCCATTTCAGGGCAGTACAGTAAAATTTGTGTAACACAAACCGGATACGACGTGAAGTTATATTGTTCCACAGAATACTTTCTGCTATTCTGAGTTATTTTCCAAATTCTGGGAACGATAAAACAAGTTTTCTCCCCAAATATCCTCATATTCCAATCCGATTGCTGACTTACTGTTTGTTCAACGAGGACGCAGGGTTTCTGGGGCTTCTTTGGATGGTAGGGCTTCGGTGAAGGGGTATCGAATTGATCCAGGATGTCATCAGTTGACTTTATGCTTATAGGAAACCCCACACGAAATAGTAAATAAATATTAAAAGTATTTCCTTAAATTTTTGCAGAGAACAAGCGTTTCCCCGCTAATAGCTGGCATCAATTATATCAACTGATTTTGTTTGTTTTTGTGTCTTTTACAGAGTGAAAAACTTTTGCGGGTCGGCGGGCGAGAGCATTACGGCGGAATCAAACATTTTGCACTTGCGTTTCTACGCAGATCAAATCGCTATTAATTCGACATTCGGCATTCTGTACACCGCGTTTCGGGACCGTGGAGCTGGTAAGTCCTTGCCATCCTGGCTGCTGCTTTGATGATGGCAAATCCCCCTGAATTGGCAACAAATGCTCGGGCGAAAAGTACAAAGGCATGACCGAAATCCTTGGGGCAATCCGGTGTTAAGCTCACCCCAAATCCCGATGTGGCACTGGCCTCCCCCCTCCCCACCCCCTCCCATTTTTCGGCTGCCCATTTGGCAGTCCCATGAACCAGTACGAGGCCGAAAACAGAGGCTAAAAGTGGAAATCGCTTGTCTAACCAACTATCTGACTCTGTCATCCACCATATCCCCCCGATCACCCTGTCTATCTATCTATCTATCTATCTATCTATCTTTCTTTCTGCCTGCCTGTCCGTGTGTCTGTGTGTCTGTCTGTCTGTTTGTTTGGCGCACAGGGTTCTGCGTGATTGCCGCCAGTTGCCAAAGGCAAAGGCTAAGCACTCTTTTGTCATTCAACGATTGTCCTTTGTCCTCGGGCCAGCATTGTTTACTTTTCGGCAGAAGCCAGACGACGACTCCTTCGAGTTCTCGAGGTCCATCTACCATCTACACCTCCAGATCCATCTGCTGCCTGTGTATCTGTGTATCTGTGTCTCTGGATGGAGTACAAGCACTACTGCCAGCATCGGCAATTATTGTTGTTGCCTGAGCGATTTATGTTCGAGATTACGTGCATTTGCCCTGTGGTTTTCATCGTCCCTCGTCCATCGTCGCTTTACCGACTTTCCCATGTCCCGCACTGCACTGCACTGCACTGTGGACTGGCAACATGGAGAATCCCATCAATTCGAAACCAGAAATTGATAGAAAATGTAACTCAAATCAAGTCGAATTGAATCGGAGGTGAACAAATAGTGTCAGTCATCTAAAGTGAATCGACACTGAGTCGCAGTCGTTGTGGAATCGAAACTGGAATTAATCCAATTGAATTGTTGGGGCCAAAGGGCTTTATTGGTATTTTTACTCAAATTAATTAATCAGCAGTAGTTTGATAATTTTCAATTAATAAAATAAAGACAGAATGTCTAATTGAAATCTCAATTCAATTAAAAGTATCATTACAATTAAATTCCGCTGGCATTAAAGTTGAAACAGACAGGACAAGAGGACAGGGTACAGAAATAAAGCCTATTTCATTATTTATTGACGCGAAACAAGAAAGTGTGGATATCACGTTCAATCAAGGCTGACCCTTTCGGTATGGAATTGCTTTAAATTGGCCATTTAACAGAGAGTTTGAGTGTCAATACCGATTTCATGAGGCCTTTTACACCCACCTTCGCGAAGTTTCGGGTGTAAAACCATTTCAATTGAAATCAATTGTCCATTCCACAGTGCGATTGGTGCTTTGATTGCCATTTTGGCACTGTTCTTTCCTCCACACAAACAAACACACACACACTCACACACACACTCCCATTCCTTGCCCCATTCTCTCTCATTCTCTCAGATTCTTTCTCACTTTAACTGCCATTTTGTGCCAAATTTTTTACAACTTTCTCTAACTCTACAACTGTCTCTCTTTCTCCCCCTCCCTCTCGCCCACTCTGTTGCAATGTTTTTGGGGTCCCGCTCCGACAGCCTGCACCGAGGACGAATACGATTGCGAGGACGCGACCTGCATATCAAAGGATTTGGAATGTAATGGCCTAGACAATTGTAAATTTCGATGGGATGAGGAGAGCTGTACGGTAAGTGCCACGCCTACTAGCACACACACACACGAATTGAGGGGCTTCTGGATGTGGGGCAAAGCGTTGTACGTGCATCTAATTATAGGCAAAACCCGACGCCGACCCCGACTTCTGGGCCGATCCCTCCTCTCATTATAAGTATGCTCAACACGCCGATGATGCCAACACCCAAAAGCACTCACGTACAAACACACACACACACACTCACACACAGAGAAACGAGCAAACACTCAGTCACATACGCTCACACACTCACAGGGCATGCATGCACAAACACAAAGTTGGTCAAATAAGTTTTGTTTGGCAAAGTTTGAGGTTTGTATTACAGGAAAGCTTTAGCTGGAACTCCTCTGTTCGTTAGCTGTAAATAACAGTTATTTGCAGGGAGCCCAGCCAGAGCGAAAGTTGAGCATCAACGCATTAGATCATCACATTTGATAAAGTCAGACCTACCGACCGACCGACCTACCGACCGACCGACCGACATCATAGGGAATGATTCATACAGCTCCATCTTAGCCTTAGCCTTTTTCCTTCCCCTCAGTGGCACAGCACAGAAATGAACTCGTAAATCCTTCTTACAGAAAAATCCACTCGTAAACGGGGGAAACACTCGCAGTACGTTCACTTCACATACCAGAAAAACGAGCAAAAAAAAACGGTCTAGCGGATCGATAACCATCCAGGAAGTGCCAATCTAACTAAATCTAAAGTAAAGTAGATTATCTGCAGAAGATTTTAAGCACATAAATATGGAATGAAATTCCATTTGATAATACATCGATTTGCATTTGATTCAAACAACCGACTATTTGCAGATTGTATTTATTTCAGTTTGTATTTTAATCATCATATAATACTTGTGTGTTTCTATTGCAACTGTCGAAGAATTTATCATCAATTTGTTGCCTGGCACTCTCCGCCTAAATACTCGTATTTGCCCCATTTCGTGGTCCAGCAATAGTCGAAAATCAAAGAACGAATCGGAATATTCATACCGACGTGCCGTGCCGTGCCGCACCGTTCATCCAATTAGTTGATTAAATTTCACACATTTTCTATAAAATTCCATTGAATTTTGGTCGAATTTCTCCATTTAATTTGTGCAAAATATGTCTATTCTGAATACATGTTTTTTTTTTCCTTTTGCGGTGAACCTAAAACAAATTTGGAATTTACACCAAAAATGATACGAGTATTTGCCCGTTGAAATGATTTTATAATTATGGCAAATATTAGATGTAATTGCAATGGGCCAGCATTGGGCTGGTTCCATTTTCGTTATCGGATCGTGGGCTTGTAGGTTTTATTTTTTGATTTTAGTTTATGATTTCTAATTTGCTCAAACGATGCCACCCACCCGTGTGCTCGGGCGTTTATCTGTCGATACTTTCCATACATTTCCATCAAATGCCCAATGAAGCGCATGCACATGTTATGTTTATTTAATTGGCCAACATTAAAATTGGCCGAGAATTTATGCTGAGTATAATGCTTGGCGTGTGGTGTAATTTATGATGACGGCGCTACGCATCAAAGACGTCCAATGATTATACCAGAATATCCAGTCTGAAGACACACACACTGTCCTGCACGCTGCACACTCGTACATGCATGCGTGTGCGTGTGCGTGTTTATGGAGAAAGTGATGGACACACGAGGCCCCCCCGAAATGTGGTGTGATAACAATTCCAATTAGATACACTTACCACAGAGAGTTCCATGGGTCCTTCAGTGAATTCCCCTGACTGTAACATTTTCCAATTGATTCATGAATGCAAATATCATTTGAGCAGGGGGGGGGGGGGGGGGGGGGGGGGGAAGGGGTCTCTATTGAGCTCAGACTTTGCCTAGCCGACCGACAACTTATTTAACTACACGGTGAGAGCATTTGGAGTTCTCTAGACTTGGACAGCCATTACCGACCGTCTTGGCTTGGCCTGGCTTGGCTTGGCTTGGCTTGGTAATTTGATAATGTAATTAAAATGGCAATTAATCGTCGCTCTCCTCTCTCTTTGCAGGGCGAAACGGCTGGTCAATCGGAGCATGTGGTAATCATTGTGATTGTGTTTGGCCTGATACTTGGCGGAATGGTCATTACGTTCATCGTCAATTGCATACGCAAGATAATACGTGATCAGAAGATAATTCGCGTAAGTACTGCGAAACTTTACTTTTACGAAACTTTAGAATTTTCTCGCGCGTGCCCCGCCGCTACCCAAAAATATCCACCCAACCCCCAACCCCTAGCCCCTAGCCCCAAGCCCCAAACCCCAAACCCCAGCCTGCCGCTCGCTCTCTCTCTCTCTCTCTCTCTCTCTTATGCTCGCTGTCGCTCGTTGTGTGCTTGTCCAATGCCACCCAAAAAACAACCTCCCGATAACCACACCCCCCCCTCCCTAGAATAGTCCTTTAAATGTTGCCCATTGAGTGAAGTGCATTGCAGCAAAATGAACATTTTTTTCGACTCTTTTTTTTTTAGTTTAGTATTAGAAACGTAAACGTACCCACATATATATTGCCCAAAATGTTCAAATGCATTTCGAATGCACGCACACCAGCCCCAAAAACACACACACACACACCCATAAATATATACATACATATATAGAAAATAGAGACTTGAAAGTACTTAAAATGTAGGTCTAAGTGCACCGGAAAAAAGCCCGAAAACAAATCTGCTTGTGACAAGAAATATGTATTTTTATGGCTCAATTATGAAAAAACAAAAAAAATACAAAAATTTGCACCATAAATGGCTCTCCAGTGAAGTACGCTCCACAGTTAAATAATTTACTTGAACAATGCGTTTTCGATGGCCTTCCAGCTGATTTAACATGCACCGTCTATTTATGTACATACATACATCTGTACCTATGTATGTATGTATGTGCATTGTATGTACTTATATCTGACAAACTCATTTTGCATATGTAAACATAATTTTACATGCGTTGACTGTTTGACAACTGAATCAGAACCAGTCCCAGAATCAGGAATCAGAAATCAGAAATCCGGAATTTGTACCGCACTGCGATTGACAGGCGGAGAACAAAGCTGCAACGAAAATCAACGCATGACAATTGGTATAATTGACAATTAGTCAATAAGTTCCATTTGGATGTCGTTCAGAGAAGAATATTGGGTATTGAAATGAGCAGCTTCAGCTCTGAGATCCCAGCATCGGGGGATAACAGAAGCCAAAGTTCCGTTTGGGTTACCAGCACCTCAAGAGGTCCCAGCACTAGGGATAGTAAGTATATAAAAGAAGAGATATCGATTTAGATATTGCCTTGAGATGGTCTCCTCTGAGGCTTAAGGTCTCTGCTTAAGTGATTGAAGAAAACTATCTTCAAGAAAACCACACCATTCTAAGGGGGACTTTCAACCATTGTGCATTCAGCATTGTAGTTTCAGCACTCGTCATCTATTCTTTTGATTTGGAATAGGCTTCCAGTCGACTGGCTGCAAGTGTCAAGTGCAGCATGCCGTTCATTGGCTCGTTCTTGGAGTTCGATCAAGAACCATTCAGCTCAGAGTAGGTTTATTGCTTATGCTTAACTGCCCTCAACCGATGCCTCGCTAATGATTCATATTGGTTATGAATAGTAGTTGTAATGGTAATTTGAAGCATTCCTTTCTGGCCATAACCCTGGCCACCACCTAATTAAACCACTTGAATGCGAGTATTACAATCTCAATTAGCCAAGCGAAGCCCCAATGTGCTTGGGCATCTGTTTCTGTGTGTCTGTGTGTGTGTGTGTGTGTGTGTGTCTGTGCCGGTGCAAACAAGGCACAAGTGCATTAAGTGGGCTACAAAATCATTGATACAGTTCGGATGGAGGAGGGATGATCACAGCCTTTCGAAAAGTAGGGTGGTCTCCAGGGTGCTGGGGCATGCCTCAGCCACTGACGACATTAGTAAAACAATAATATGCAGCGTGATAGGAATCTTGTCGCCTTGTCTGATACAGCGAGATACAGCGATGTACACGGGGAGACGGCAGCACACATTTCTCACGCACTGTCTGGGTCTTGCGCTGCTGCCAAGAATGTAATAGACATGCAGATGCCTCCCCACGACTCCCCCGAAAGTACGGATGCCTCCCTGTGCCCACATCGGGGAAGGAACATCGGAAGGAAGGAACATATCTCGGCAATTCTAATGGCATCTGACACTTTGAAATGTAAAATAGACTTTGGCTCTGACTCTGTGCCCGCGGTGGTTGGACCGAAAGCAGCCCCCGCCCACATACAGAGGGAGGATGGAGGATGGAGGATGGATACCCAAAACTCAAGTTGACTAATCAATACAAATGAAATTTGTCAGTTGAATGCGCAAAAGATGTCTGGAGCGAGGAGTCTCTTCCATGGCCACTTCCTTTCAACTTCCACTTGTCTGCCACTTCTCTGTATAGCAGAGAGTGCGTCACCACAGAGGAGTCCTCTCCAGAGGAGACTAACGAATGGAAAACTCTCTAGGAATGGCCTGACACGCTCTCATTAATCCAAGAAGAGTATTCGATTAAAGGGAAATTAACTAACGATTTATCCAAATTCAATATAGTTATTCGTTAGTAACTATCGATCGTGTCACGTGAGTCGTGTGACACGCTCTCATATCTATGCGACCCGCGGCCATCCAACAGCAAAAAGCTAAGAGCAAACGGCAAACACATACAGATACAGATACAGATACAGAGTCGAGGCGCGTCGAGAGTCGAGTCTGTTTAATCAAGCAGCAGACCGCGTCTATAAATATATGGCCATGCCACCATCCGCCCGACCGCCTCTGGCCACATCCGCTTGGACAGATCCAAAAACAAATACCAACGCACAGGCAGGGAGACACAGCGAGACAGACAGACACAGGCACACAGATACTTAATTAACTCGCGTGGCAGAGAGCAAAAGAAGGAGTCGCCAAACCATTTTGCCTCGTTTCTTTTGGGTCTTTCGTTTTTTGTCTGTTCAACTCATTCCCGCTTTCGTTTTCGTCTCTCGTTCTTGCCACAATGATATTCAATTTGGCCACCAAAGCATTGAACCATTGGAACCACTGAAACCACTGCTCCACCCCCGGGCATGGCACGCCATCGCATGCCTCATTCCCCCCAAAAAATGTTGGCCAAAGTCAATGTCAAAATTGATGCTTCAATATGACCCCCAGGGGACTCAGAGTCACGAGTACCAGGAAATACCATGAGAGATGAAATGAAAATGAAATGACTTTTGCCTGGGCAACCAGAGACTTGACAACAGCCGATGGGAGAGGTTCCCTGGATATTGATGTCGACAGTAGATGAAACTTTATTCCCAAACAGAAAGGGCCAAACAAGAGGAACGAGTCCAGCTGTAAGTCATCTGGTGGTGGCCAAAGCCCAAGCCCAAGCCCAAGCCCAACTTCCATATTTCTAATTCCATTTTCTAAGAAAAGCAAAAACAATCCTCTGGCATCAATACTCTGGCTCTGGCCACAGCTATGAATAACCAAGAAGATGCTTGAACTCTCCTGACAAGCCACAAACAAAACTTCGAACAGGTTGTTGGGTTTTTAGAAGAGGTCGAGAAGTCGTGTCAAATGCCAAATAATCGATTATGGGTGCTCTTCCACTGCCACTTCCACGTCCACATCAATGGTTTCCCATCGTTAATTGTATGTGAATGAATTAATATTTCACGAATACAAAAAAAAACAAAAAAAAACAAACAACAATAAAAAACACTTCATACATAATTTAATAGCGTGAGGTGTGGGACTATTTAATTAATCCGTCTACCGCCGCCTCTCCACAGTCATTATCACACTCTCACACACATTTCACACACAGATACTCGTACTCGTACTCCTACTCGTACTCGTTCGAGAGTATCTCACCACACCAATTATGTCTGTGCATATGTATTTAGTGGATGCAGTACTATCGTATCCGATAGGGTCCTTTGTTAAAGTATCCGATGATTAAGTATATTCTCAGCTCTAATTGGGTTCTTCATCTGTTAAGTAGAACCCACTATGGGATATGGAATAGCACTATATGTATCCCCAAACGTACTTTAAGAGCATCTACCTTTCGGCGCACTAGGATCCGTGTTTCATGCATTTTTCGCATGCGTTAGTGGGCATGTGTCATCGTTGATCAACATTTCTGGTTTTGGTTTGGATTCTGATTCTGATTCGGGCTCACAGCTCGGGATGTTATCGGCTCGCTGTTCAGTGAAGTGTGTAATTTAATAATGAACCCCGCCCTCCATTCATTTTCGCCTCGGCTGAGAGGCGTATACGCAATGCTCTATTGGGCTATTGGAAACCAAAAGGCCAAAAGCAGGACGACGACGCAACGCGGATTGACGTCGGTTGAGGGCACGGGGTTGCCGGTTGCCGGTTGCGGGTTGCGGGTTGCGGGTTGCGGGTTGCAGCTTGCCGTGTCGGCTCCCTTTCTGCCTGTCGGACTGCCTGATGGTGCCAGGCAGCAGGCAGCAGGCAGACAAAGCAGTCAAAGCATGTTCCAGCTAAATTGTAAAACAGCCGCGTCCGCTGACGCCGCACAATGGCCCGGTGCGAACAATCGAGCGAGGCGGCAACAATGGGCTCCTGGCCACGGGTCTACGGCATAATGTGAACTCAATTTGTATGGCATGCATATCTTACTTTGGGGCCTCGAACAAGGTGAATAGCTGCACTGACTTTGGTCTGCATAATTGGATAGGATATCTGTGTGTGTTTCGGCTGCTTTCAAACTTCCATTTTCCATATATATTTGTTTATTTGGACAATTTTTGGCTCGGCTAATGAAAGAAAGATGGCTTATAAGGTAGTCAATGAAGCAGATATCCCTACTTAAACATAGAACTACATATGTACCAAAACTGTGATTATTAAGTGAAATTTCCAAATTCCCCATCATGTCTTCTACATATGTATGTGCCTCAGAATTATCAGGAAATCGTTGGTTGGTTGATGAAGGAATTTTTGTTTGCTTTTTGACACAATCAGTCCTACTGTTTACACACCTGAGCTATGGCTATGGCTACGGCTACGGCTACGGCAGGTGCACGAGCCTCAATCTGATTATCGCCTCGAGTGCTAGATGATGCTTGATGGAGTGGTGGCGGAGGCTGCGTAGGTGGTGGGGCGAGTGGGGATGATGAT